CTTTTTATTAAAAATTATAAACACTCCAGGTTCACCTGATTCTATAAGAGAACGCTTAGTTTTCCGACATTCTGTTCATGATATAAATGTAAGATATTTAAAAAAAAATAAGTATGCCGCTTCATAGTAGTGCATTGTTTCAACGATCATTCTCATGCAATGCTGTTAAACAATTTAATTCAATTCCCAACCAGTTCCTTAATCTTTCTCTTTCAAGTTTCAAAATACAATATAAGAAATATTTGCACTACAGATCTGAACAAACTTTTTTAGAATAGAGATTGAAGTTGATAATATAGGTATATAAGTAGAAAAAATATGTCAAGCAAATTTTATAGTAACCAGTAACCAAATTTTATAGTGACCAGTATTAATTAATATCTTTTTGGAATGTTAATTTACTTTCAGTCCATTTAGTGTTAATACGGGATTATTATTATGATTATTCTGTATTGTTGTTTGAAGACTTATTACTATTACTGTTATTTTTTTTGTCTTATTTTGGTTCAGTAGAGTAGCTTTAGCCTCTGTACTTTTTTCAATTCGTCCACGGTTAGTGCTTCCTCTGACTGCGGACCACTGTCCTCAACGTTTGAACTGGAGCAGAGTATGACAACATTGGGAGGCAGAATGAAATAATTTCATCTTCAGCGATGAATCGCGATTCTGTCTAGGTACGCACAATGGTCGTAGCAGGGGAACACACAGCCTTGGAGAGCGGCATGATATTGGATTTGCTGGTGAGAGGCATATACACGGCCGCTCCTGTGTCCCTAGGTTATCCAGATTGTTGAACAATCTACACTAAGAAGCTTTTCCCAGTTCCCAGTAACCTTAGACAGTTCATTTAAGCTTCTGCCTGTGCGACTGCTTTGGCGTAAAAAAATAACCCCGTTGCACATGTACGTTCATCCTTTCTTGCTTCCATAAAACTAGAGTCTAAGAAAATTCTGTACAATAAATATAAAGAATAGACTACATTAGATACATTTCGTCGTCATCCACATCGTCAGGCGTTCCGTACCTTAATTTTTATTTCAGCTAGATACGCGGCGAGTGCTTTTATTATTCCATCCTCGTCTATGAAATACCTGTGTCTCGTAGGTGCGGAGTTGAAACTGCTGTACAAATACTCATAAAACCATAATAGAGCCGTATCCAACCACTTCGTGCTCTGTACCGCAGAGGCGGCTCGTGATCGAGGGTAAGGCACTTCGGCACCCCTAATATATTAAATTATACAGCGTGTCCGCAAAGTTGGGGTTTTTCTTAGTACCATATACACCAATGTCTTAAGGGAACCGAGATAAAGGGCTCTGCAACATCAAAAATATCTGAATACCGTCCTGTAGCCGCGACATCACCGACTGGTACAAGGTCACTGGCTCAACCCGACGACAGAACTGGGTCAGGCTCAGTGTGTCAGGTCAGTATGCAACCTTCAACCTACGGTTACGGTCACGCGTGTAGAGGTAATCGCGTAGACGCGAATCCCTCAACAAGCACTAGAGACGTGGCTAGAGAAGTGCAAGTATCAAACACTAGTGTGGCAAACGCTGCGTGAAGAGGGGCTGTATCCGTTTCACGTCCAACGTGTACAAGCCCTTTCCAGCAAGAGTGCGGTTTTGTGAGTGGTTGTTGCATCAACATGACAATAATCCGGACTTTTTGAAGTGCATATTGGTGACAGACGAATCTACGTTCACTCGTAATGGGGTGAATAACTTTCGCAACACTCATGTTTGGTCAGTAGAAAATCCGCACGCTGTCCGTCGGGCACATTTTCAACAAACATTTTCGGTCAATGTTTGGGCTGGCGGTATGATTTCGGGCAGAGACGTACTTAGCCCTTCTCGTCAACTGGAGAGTGAGTACTTTTTCCTTTATTTTTTTTTTTACTTGGTCGCCCTCGTTTCGCTACACATTACCTTTGTTATTTCAAGGGTAGTTGTTTCTGAAAAGGAAAACCCCAACTTTGCGCACACCCTGTATAGAAAATGCAACACCGACTAGTAGTGCTGTAATTTTGAGCATACTTTTGCAAGAAAGTGATTAAAAGTTTAACTCGAATTTTCGCAACGATATATCCCACCTAAAAGTACCTTTACAAAAACAGTACCGCTTGGAATGCGTTCAACACCTTATCAGCGTATGATAATATGACAAAATTCGATAAATAATTCTGGGTGTTGCATTTACTGAGTAAATAATTATTTCATGACATTTATATCACCGAACGCTTTACAGTTTCCGGCTATATATCCATAGAATTTGAATGCTTATGATACTTTCAAGTTGGTTAAAGGCTAGTTTTTGTCTTAAGAGATCATTATTCGCAACCTTATAATGCTGTTCAATTACCAGATTATGTCTTGAGAATGATAGAATTTAGGTGCATTCAAATACCGCTTGTTAGCTAGACACTAATAATAAATGTAGTCAAGGTTCTGCTGTAGAATACGGCAATCTGAAATGTCGAAGATTTTCTGATCATCAGCGTATAGTAAATTCAAACAAGACAAGTGGCAAGACAGGTCGTCCATGTACAGTAAATATAGAAGAGGCCTTAAGTTGGAACCTTATGGTACACCTGAGGCTCATTATTGAAATGGGCAATAGAACTTTTGAAGCAGACCTTAGACAACATGCCATTACAACGGAGACAGAATTTGTGGTTTCTTCATGACGGGGCACCACCACACATTTTTAGAGGCGTCATTCGGTATTTGAATGAACATTATCCAAATCGCTGGATCGGTCGAAATGCTCCTGATCCCTGAAAATGGCCAGCAAGATCTCCTGACCTCAATCCGATGGATTTCTGGAATTGAGGAGAACTTAAAGGGATGGTTTATGGGGTTGGTCCAATAACAACTGAAGCACAACTTTGCGAAAAAAATTTTAATGCGGCTGAAATAATAAATGGACAACTTCGAGGACCTAGAATAAGAAGAAACTGGGTTCGTCGAAGCTTGTGTGGAAAATGGAGGACAACATTTTGAACACCTTCTTTAAATACAAAAAAGTGCAGTGTGAGCTTTAAAAAGAAAAACAATGTATGTATCAAAATTGTATTCCCTATTTATAAGTGGATGTTTTTAATACGTTCAATAAATTTTCACGCACCAGGTGAATCCCTGAGACAGTTAGTCCGTTTTTTTTTAATTGTTTGCATTTTACGAGTACATTATCAAATAATGAAATAATACCTAATAGCCAAGAATAACAAACTCCATGTTTATTTACACTGCGTTCTGTCGTAGTTTACGTCTGGCATTGCGGCATTGTCAGATTTTATTTTACTTTAAAGTCGCTTTTCTCTAAAAAAATGCCGTTTTGACCTCCATGTCAATAAAAATTTTTGCTCTATCATCCATTTAAATAATGACTATCATAACGTTTACACCCTGTATATTCTTGAGATACAAAACTATTATAAAAACATATTGAGACATATATTCGATATACGACTGAAAGAAATTAACCATCAAATTATCAAAAATTATTGAAAACTAAATACCTTGCTCAATGGAATATCATGATCTATCTTGTCAAAAGCTTTACACATCCACCTGACTATGACTATCCAACTAAATAAATTGGTGACACTAGATATGCCCTTGAAAAAGACATGCTGAGAAAAGGAAACTTGGCTACAGGACAAGGGATAAATGTGGTCATTCGGAATCATATCAAATACTTTCGCAAAATTCTACAAGATAAACATGGTTCTCTAGTTTTCAATTTCAGCCAAACCGCTTTTAACGGACAATTCTCTCTATCCCGCTCGTGCACATTGAATAGGAAACATCAATGATCTTCTGATGAATGATCTTTGACTGTTCTTGCCTTCCCTCGAGAGCTACCACTGCCGTTCCTGCTCCTGTGAGAAATTCATTTTGGGGGCTACGTAAGGCTAAGGAAAACATTCGCGAGAAGATCTTGATAACTGTTTCCCATTAGTGTGAGCTGAAGAAGCGTTGCTTAATGTGGCCTCGGCTTTAATGGATATATAATGGTAAAATGATGCCGCTACGGTGCTCGATTCGGTTTGGGAAACTTGAGACTGTTTTGCTTTTATTTCGGTAGGTATTGGAACAATATATGTACAAAGTTGAGGAAAAACTAAGGGAGGTTGAGACGAGGTGATGCTTTTGTTTACAAAGACACTGGCTCAAGGATGGAACGTCTTCTTTTAAAAATGTATTCATAGTAACTAAAGGATTGAAAGAAGCTGGGCCCTTAAAGGTTATTACAATTTTGTTCCTAAAAAGAAAATCCATAAAATCATAAACAGTACTTATATGGACCTGCTCCACACCAGGCTGGAGGTCAGTTCAAGGTCAGATTCAGTTGAAACTGCGAATCGCTCTTCAAATGACCGGACACGGACAAAGTGATCTCAAATTAGAACTGATTAAAAGAAGAAAGCCGAGATACGTCAAAAGCTTTGTCAAGGGGGACGACTTTTTAACAAAAAGCTACTTCACCCCCGTTCACGCTCTGCCTCCCAGGGTCATCCCCTCAAAAATTTTAAATGACAAGGGGTATTGAGTAACATACGAAAATATCACTTTTTACGAGTATTTCAATAAGTGTTCAAAATGTTGCCGGTTGGTGTTAGCCAAATAATTTAAAACGAAAACTACCAATATACAGGGTGTCCCGAAAAAAGTGTACAATATTCTACCAGCGGTTTCTCGAGCTTAAAATAGGAAGAAAAGCTTATATAAACATATGTCGACAAACGTCCCCTAAGGGCACGTTTACATCGAGCGCGCTTCGCTTGGAGCTGTGCGCCTCACTTCATGTCAAGCGAACCTCTATGCGTTCGGGTTCATTCATATCGGAGGCGCTTCGCTTTTCATACCTCGACTGTTATTAAAACACACTTTATATTTAAAGACGCATTTTCCAAGCATTTCACCATGGCTCCTTCACGAGTTAAGAAGATATTACTACTCGAAAGTATTGCGTTGAAAGTGAATAGAAAAAAACTAAAACGATCGTGGGTGCATGAGATTAATATATGTAGGAAATCGTTCGGAGAATTCTATCACCTCTATCGAGATGCCAGAAAATATCCAGAAAAATTTTATGAATACTTGAGGATGTCAAAGGAATCTTTCGACCTTCTCCTAAGCCATTTGGATCCTTATTTATGTGGGATTGGAACCAATTTCCGTGAAAGGATTTCAGCAGAACAACGTTTGGTTATAACATTGAGGTAAGCCAAAATAAAATTATAGTGTTTATGAAAAACTGAGTTTTATTTTATTAAAAAATACATTTGTCCGAATAAAAATGTTACGCGTTATATCCTGAAAAAAAACTTCGCATAGGGGTGTCCAATTCACTACCTTCAGATACATTGTGTGTGGTCGGATCCGGATGTGTTGACTGTATCGGTATGTGATGATGGTATGTATGATTGTCCGAAGCGGAACTTGAGGGAGCGGGGAAGGTAAAGACACGTGCCGGAGGTTGTCCACAAACATTTTGTGAAACTTCACTTTCATGCTCCTCAACTTGCTGAAGAAGCAGTTCCTGAAACTTTAATCTTAGACGTAATCTTCTTGAAGCAGGAAGACTCTTCATGTATGGCAAAAGACTCTTTAGGAACAAAAGATCATCATCATTTTCTTTAAGTGATTCAGACTCTAGGAGCTCAAGTTTCCGTTTTTCTAACATTATTAGTTCGCTATTGTCGTTTTCTGTTGCCAGTTGCTTCTTTCGCTTCTGCGCCCCCTTCCGAGTTTCAGAAGTAGAAGATAATCGGCTTGCAGACCTTGAAGGTGCTTGACTGCTGGTCGATGGCGGTGACAAAACATTGTCAGAATCTTGCGACTCTACGTCCTGTATATCATTATATTCTAAGTCAATATCTTCTGTGACCCTTTCCGCTTCTATATTTGCATCCCTCAGTGGGGTTTGCAGATGGTCTTTTAAAAATAACAAAAGAGAATAATATTGCCAAGGACTTGCTACAGCTTCATTTGCTCCACTGCCTGATCTGGGTTTTTCTAACTTTTTTGTTTCTCTGTTAAAGTAGTCCCTCAAGTATTTCCATTTATTTTTAACAGTTTGAACTGAAACAAAAATTGCTATTAACACCAAGCATATTTTATGTATGTTTGTTGCAGATTTCTTGCTACTGGAGAATCCTATCGATCCCTAGCTCTACACTTCAGATTGGGGGTGGCAACAGTTTCAAATATTGTAAATCATACATGCATGGTAATATGGGATACCATGAAAAGTGATTACCTACCAAAACCTACACAAGCACGTGGCACAATAAATCACAACAATATTGGACCAAATGGAATTTTCCAAATTGCATAGGCAGTATTGACGGCAAACATATTGAAGTTAAATGTCCCTCCAATACCGGATCTCTATACTATAATTATAAGCAATATTTTTCAATATTACTTCAAGCCCTAGTTGATGCTGACTGTAAATTAATTGCGGTTGATATTGGGAGTTTTGGACGCCAAAGCGATGGAGGAAATTTTAGGTCCTCGTCGCTTTTTCGAGCATTAGACAGAAAAGAGCTTGACGTCCCACCTGATCAATGCTTACCACAAACAAATATAAAAGCCCCATTGGTTATAGTAGGCGATGAAGCTTACCCTCTGCTTCCATACCTAATGAGGCCATATCCTAGAAGAAATTTAGATAATTCAAAAAGAATTTTTAATTATCGTCTCTCCAGAGCCCGGCGATGTGCTGAATGCGCATTTGGCATAATGAGTGGCAAATGGCGAATTTTACTAAAACCTATCGAAACAAAAATTGAGACAGCTATAAATATTGTAAAGGCCATTTGTATTTTGCACAATTTTGTTATAGAACAGGAGGGATTTAAGACAAATAAGGAATGTCAGACGGGCTTTAGCGGCGATATTAATCCGAGTACCTACACACACTCCCAGTATCGCTTTTCCGAAGATGCAAAGAGAACCAGAGAAATATTAACAAATTATTTTGTGACTACTGGTGCAGTTGAGTGGCAGAATCAATTTTCTTTCGTACAATAAATGTATTATATAGTATTATCTTTGAGTTTCTATTCCCTAATTATTTTGTTCTTTAACTACTCTGCCTTAAAAATTAAAACTGCTACTACCTCATACACACGATGGTTTATACAGATGACGTATCGCAAACCACTTATACATAGAATAAAAACACGAATACGCCCCTATACATGGAAACCAAAACCGATGCAAAAATACGGACAACAAAAAGAAGACATCGACACATTCTAAAAGTTGATATATTATATCCATCCCTAGTTAAAACATAATATGAACTCACCATCTTTTCCAACTTCGTCTCCTATTTCTTTCCACATTTTTTGTAACGCGTATACATTTTTATGCAACGCATGCTTCGGATTCCATATTGCCTCTCGTTTAAAAACGGCGGTGATAATTTCTTCTTCCATTGTGTTTATGCAGATAACCCTCGGAGTTGTCTGAACAAGCGAGGCAAAACGCAACGCAAAACCAACACATCGCGTTTTCCACCGCTCCGCATAGTATAACGTAAGGCACAGCGCGTAGCGCCATGCGCGCGGTCTGAACACATTCATTTAAAGCTGTGTTGTCGTTCCTCTCGCTTCCTACTGGGCTGTAAAGCAAAGCGCACAGCTCCAAGCGAAGCGCGTTTGATGTAAACGTGCACTAACGGTCTTTTAAAGGAGCTCCCCTGAAGATGGTTTTTCCTTAATATTTCCGAAACGTGTTGAGATAAAGACATAAAATTTGGTATTCCAGCCTAGTTTTTTTATGCTGGATTTAAAAATATTAACAATTTTAGACAGTTTTGTTTGGAAGCGTATGTAATAGGGACGGACTCAGGTTATTTTAGTCGCAAAATTTTTGTGTGATTCTATTTTTGAAATTCAATTTTAGAATTTCAAAATTTAGGCTTTTCTACATAAAAAGGTACTCTTATTGAATATCGATAAATTGTGCCATTTTTGAATAAAATCGAACTAAGCAATTTGTCACATGATAGGAAATGTACTGCGAATTTAAATGAATTGTTGAATAATTAGCCATGGCAACGAAAAAACTAATTTAATAATTGGTAAATATTATATAAATACATATTTCTATTGCAACGTAGCTAACATTTAGGCAAAAACAAAAGAAATAAATTTTTCCTACGAACGCAATTGAAATTTGTTTAAAAAAGAAGACATACAGTTGGATATACTTAAAACTAGCTTAACAATAAGTGTTCAAATAAATTCCCTTTTTGTTGAATACAGAGTCTCGCTTGACGAACTAAAGATTGCGTAGCTCAAAAAGTGGAAAGCCTTTTTCTTCTTATTTCATCTGCAGCCTGATGGATTCTTTGAAGTAAATCTTCTTGAGAATTTACTTCAGTCGAATAAACTAGGTCTTTTAATGACCCCCAAAAATAGAAATCCAATGTATTTAGGTCAGGTGAACGTGGCGGCCACGCTATAGGACCTCCTCGGCCTAACCACCTGTCTGGAAAATTGACAATCAACTAATTTCGAACATTGCGTCCAAAATGTGCAGGGGCGCTATCATGTTGAACAAACATATTTTCTTGAAACTGTTGGCGCACATCCGATGGTATTATATCGATGAGCTCATTCTGATGAAAGTTCAGATACACCTCTGAATTAAGACGATTAAGAAGTACAATGGGCCCAATTACTTGATCCCCAATTACTCCTGCCCATAAGTTCAATGAAAATCTATGTTGAAAATTTGTACGGCGAACAACTTTTGGATTTTCATCTGACCAGTGATGCATGTTATGGAAATTAAAAGCACCATTCCTAGTAAATATTGACTCATCCGACCATAATATTCTAGGAATAGTGTTTTATTTTGCTAATATCCACTGGCAAAACTCGATTCGTGGGAAAAAATATGCCTCCGTTAAATGATGCACCCGTTTAAAATGATAAGGATGTAATCCTTGCATTCTTGTCATTCTTCCTATCAAAAAATTATTATTTTTAGGATAACTATCAAATAGGTATTCATACATTTTTCTTACTATTGATCGAGGTATATCCATATTTTCTGAAAAATTTCCTATGCTTATTTGCAGATTATTTTCAAACATATTTAAAGCAATATCCATACGATGATTTCCCAGTGGCCTTCCTGAGCCCTGCATGCGCTGAAAACTTCCATACTTTGATAAATTCCGGTGAATATCAGTAAACATTCGACGTCCAGGTACTATGCGATTGCGAAATCTTCTTTGATATTCTCTTACGGCTGCCAATGAACTTCCATTGCAAAACCCGTACACAAAATGCATGTCAGTCAGTTCTCTGTCTGTAAATCTTGGCATTTTAAATCGATTTAATTAAAATTTTGATTTTAATCTAGTAATTTTACACTGCTAACACTGTCAGCTTAACGTCAAAATAAGTCATAACAAATCAAAACAACTTTTGTTTGCAGTCATGGCTAACAATTATAATCAACAATTCATTTAAATTCGCAGTACATTTCCTATCACGTGACAAATTTTTTAGTTTGATTTTATTCAAAAATGGCACAATTTATCGATATTTAATAACAGTACCTTTTTTATGTAGAAAACCCAAAATTTTCAAATTCTATAATTGAATTTCAAAAATAGAATCACACAAAAATTTTGGGGCTAAGATAACCTGGGTCCGTTCCTGTTACATATGCTTCCAAACAAAACCGTCTAAAATTGTTAATATTTTTAAATCCAGCATAAAAAACTAAGCTACAATACCAAATTTTATGTCCTCATCTCAACACGTTTCGGAAATATTAAGGAAAAACTATCTTCAGGGAGCCCCTTTAAAAGACCGTAGCGCCCTTAGGGGACGTTTGTAGACCTACGTTTACATAAACTTTTCTTCCTATTTTAAGCACTAGAAACCGCTGAAAGAATATTGCACACTTTTTTCGGCAATTCGGAAGATTAGACGTGGCAACAACCAAATAACAACCCGAATTTTTTTCCGCATTTCTTCCATCAACACAGATATCCTGGGGGAACTGTATCTATTGTTATACCTGTTTAGTTATTTGTTGCTAAGGGTAAGAATGAATTTAATTTGCTGTCAGTTACCTTTGTGACAGTCTTGGGATAGTGAAAATTAATTTATTGATTCAGATTTTGCTTCCAAAGTGGTTCACACTAGCCGAAAGAGTGGAAATGATTCTAATTTATGGTGCCCAACATCAATGTGCTCGGCAAACTGCCGTCACGTTTAACGCTAGGCATACGGGGAAGATAACTTCGCATAGGTATATTTTGGACCTTGTTACTAAATTTACTCAAACTGGCAAGTAAAAAACGTGATCATCGGAGAGTTTCCGATGAAGCCGCTCAAGTTGAAGTTTTGAGTTGTTGATTAACTATTTCACCTGAGGATATCTAAATAAAAGAGACTTTGCAGAGACGCCAAAAAGCTATTGGAAGTCCTAGTGCCAGCTACGAGACAGTGGTGAAACGAAACACTTCAGCACTTTTTCAAATTCACTTTTTTTTTCTCCTGCGGTTCCTTAGATGGCGCTGGTGATTTTCAGATCCCTTTTTAGAGCAGTAGAATAATGTAATGAATGGTTAAACTGATGCTATAAATCCTAGCTCCACCTATGAGACAGTGGCAAAACCAAACACCCTAACTGTTCTCAACGAAAGTTTCTAAATTCCTTCTTTCCTATTACCGTCTCGTAGCTGGCTTTGGTATTTCTCAGATCCCTTTTTGAACGCAGGAATACAGTATAAGGTTGGCTGTCTCCAGGTGGAATACGTTAATGAATGGTTAAACTGCACATATAGATAAAGAACTTGTTAGATTAAACGAACTTACCTTAGGTGAAACTATATCTTTGTTACCTGTATAATCCGGTATTCTATACACTACCTAGGTAATGTATAGAATGCCTAAAACGCATAGGTAATGCATGAAATATTATTTGTTTTATACTTTGCCTAGGTATTATATAGAATACCGAATGCGCAGCCAGTAATGTATGTAAAAGACGCAGTTGCAAAAAATACTGCGATAAAAAAAAGTGTTCTTGAGTTGAAAGTAAGATTTTATGCACTTCAAAATGTCACGATAGTTCCCCAAGTACAAATAAAGAAAGGTGCTTTTTGTACCCTTTTCATAAAACTGATTTTTAAGGAGCACCCTAATTGTTAATTTTGTTGATGTTGATTTTACATAATTTATTTGCCTGTCATTTTATAGGTATGCCGGTTAACATTGATAAATGTAGACCAATATCTATTCATTTTACACATTGCTGGTGGACCAGCAGGTACTCTATACAATCCCTAGGAATTGTATT